GCATAAAAAAGCACTTTCCGATATTTTGGGAAGGTTTTAAGGCGATAAAAGCGATTTATATTCAATTCCTAAAGGAGTAAGCTTGTAGAAATATTTTGCTGGTTGACAATTGATAAATTGGATAAATTGGTGTATTAGTGAACATTATCTTAAAACATTGTTCACACTAATTTTATCCTATGTGATAGACAACGCATTAAGTTAAAACTACTAAGTTATTAATCATTAAGTACTCAAATATGTCTTCGTTTCACATATCGTGGTTAATAATTGATTGCTAAAACCACCAGGTCTGTATTAATTAAAAACTTAAAAACTTTGCAAAATCATTTATAAATAAAGTAACTGTTAAAGACATCTTTAGACGATGTTGTTGTCTTTTGTACTGTAACATACCATTGTCTTTTGTCTTCATAAAACCACTTTGTACGCTTTGACAAACATTATGTGATGCATTGCAAAAAGCAACTAAAAGAAAAACTACAGAAACGCGTACCAATATCTTGCATAAAAGAAAGTAATCACTTTGTGTTTGAAAAACTTTTTTGACAACATTTATATAACCACCATCATGAAGAATAAATTATATTTTGTGCATGCACAGCTGCATGTATGCTTCATATAGATTGCATAATAAAGCCCTTTGGGTTTTTTTAGGCAATCGAGCTATAAGGCCATAAATGCCGATTTTTCTTTAATTCTATGAGGCGTAGGCTTGTAGAAATATTTCTTTCTTGAAGATAATTGATAAATTGGTGTATTGGTGAACATTATCTTAAAGAATCTACACATTAATTTTACCTATGTGACAAAATATATATAGATGACTTAGTTAAAACTGAGCTTTTTTATTATTAAGTACCCAAATATGTCTTCCTTTCACAAATTATTGTTATTAATAAATAAAACACCAGGTCTGTATTAATTACAAACGTTTCTAGTTTAAAAATCTTTGCAAAAAACCTCATTTTCAAATTACTGAACAGTAGTACAGACTTCTCCTGTTTTGTTTTTTTCGTTTAAAATTAATTTTGGGCTAAGTACGTACCATATATAAGGGGTTTTTTACGCGATATCTTGCTATATGATGCTAATGTCCGGAAAATGTTTTTATTTCAAATTGGACTGAAATTAAAAAGCTTTTACCGGACAATGACATGCTGTTTTGATAAGCTTAATGATAAGCTCTTTTACAAAAACATATACGTCAATGTAAGACGTATATGATAGTGCTCAGAACAAACAACAGATGAAGCGTTAAGTAATATATCACTAAAAAAGATAAAAGCATTTTTAAAGAAAAAAATTATCTCACTCTTGAAGTTCTATAGTATTATAATACATAGAACCTATATGTTTAAAAGAATGTTTCAAAGAATAAAATTTCATTATAAAGAGAGTCTAAAAAATGCCTGCATATAGCTAATTCATAAGGTGATAGAAAGGTTTTTATACTTCACAGCGATTATGAAAGAACAACAAAGAAACTCCTATAGCTGGGGAATATCCTTCAACATAAAGAATTATAAATTTTTAATGATTAGGTTTATCATTTCACGAAAAACATTAAAAAAGAGCAATCACATTTTTCTTTTCGTGAAATTGCAGTTGTGTTGCATACATTTTTTTGCTATTTTTTATTATTCGAAATGTTTAAAGACACCTGCCATCTTCCTTCGTTCATTTTCTTGTCCATTAGCTATAATAACAAAATTAATTTAAATTGAGACAAAATGACAAAGTGTGAATTAAACAATGACATCCAATCATTTTAAAATCATATGCTATATTGTTTTTACTCACAGTCCCTAACATTAGTCCAGTCTCGAACTTGTGAAACGGGGAAACTTGCAGGAACTTAAACATAAGACTTACTGAACACAAACGAGGTACAAAGAAACAAGAACGAACTAATTACATTGCCGAACATCACCGAATACAAAGCACAACATTGACTGGGACTCGGCAAAATGCATTACTTACAGTACTGACTATAGACAACGGCTTGCATTAGAAAGTTGGTATACCAACTTTGAACAAACCCCCCTGAACAGATAACAGTAATTACCGGCACCTTACAAACGACGTATTCACAATACAAACAAACGATCAACTAAAAACATTACACTTCACATTAATTCACAATGACAATACACAATTAACACCCACACTTTTCCTGTACACACAATACAATGAGGTAAGAACCAGCTAAAAAATACGGCTAACCTGACTTTACTCCTCATTGAACTCTGAAGATGACTACCGCTAAGGTTGTCGAAACGTCAGTCAACAACAAGAAAAACAGTCCTTCTCAGGACTATGCCAACCTGGACGATCTACATTTACAAACATGTAACAGTCATTATATTCAACATGTTTTTTGTTTTCTGACCAGTCTCCCAGGTCACCGCAAAGTTTATTTTGCCTTGCTGATGTTAGCGTATTTCATACAATCCAAGCAAGAATTCAGAACTAAGATTACCATAGCCTTGTTTATAGTCATTCTACAATTGTTTCATTTACACATGTACAATTGTTTCTTTGAGATTAAAATGTACACTAGTGTGCTACTTTAGTAAGAAATCAAAATGGCAAGGTTGTCATTTTCATGTTAACGAAAAACAACAGACAGGAAAAGTGAGAACATTTATATAGCCACAATCATGAAGAATAAATTATATTTTGTACATGCACAGCTGCATGTAAACTATTCTTAGATTACATAATAAAGCACTTTGGGATATTTTAGGCAATCTAGCTGTAAGGCCATAAGAGCTGATTTTTCTTTAAATCCAGGAGGCTTAAGCTTGTAGAAATATTTCTTTCTTCATGATAATTGATAAATTGTTGTATTGGTGAACATTATCTTAAAACATTGTTAACACTAATTATATCCTATGTGATAGACAACTTATTAAGTTAAAACTACTAAGTTATTAATCATTAAGTACTCAAATATGTCTTCGTTTCACATATCGTGGTTAATAATTGATTGCTAAAACCACCAGGTCTGTATTAATTAAAAACGTAAAAACTTTGCAAAATCATTTTTAAATAAAGTAACTGTTAAAGACGTCCTGTTTTGTTTTGTGAGCTAAAATCAATTTTCGCTAAAGTCCTGCCATTATGGGTTTTTAATTACGATATCTACAGCCATAATATTTGCAATAATGCCCGAAAAGTATTTTTATTGTCAAGTTTATGCAAATTAAAGCTTTTGGGGTACGAGAAAGTGCTATTTTTATTATAAATGTTATTTTAATACACAAGTTTAATGATAAGTTCTTTAAAAAAAACGTGAATTTCAAAGTAAGACGTAGGTGAAAGTGCACAGAACAAACGACAGCTGAAGCAATATATCACTAAAAAAGGCAAACGCATTTTCAAAGAAAATAAATTATTTTTCTTATAGTTTCACGACCTTGTATAATCAATTATCAAGCTCCAAACTAATAGATGTGTGATTGCTTTATAATTCTACCATCGCTTAAATATTTTCGCTGTTGCAAACATATCGGTTTGAGCTTGTTTACATATAGGTCTATGTTAAAAATTTGGGAGATGTTATTTTTTTGGAAAAGGTATAATAAGAGTGTTTTTCAAAAATATAGGCATAATATTTTAAATAAGTTTTGAACAATACAGCAGAGATAATGAAACAATAAAGGAGCCCCCATAGACTGAAGTCAAGAATACAAACTTCAAAAGCATATAATTCCTTCCTCAATTATTAAGAAGTATAATTCTTTATTCCTTTGCCATAAACAGTGCTTTTATGCAGCCTTCAATTGAGCAATAATTTGAATAAAATAATTAAGAAAGCTCAAGATCTGTTGTTTAGTATGACCACTGACTACTGTTTCCTATTGATTTCATTTCCAGACAAATTAATGATCATTATATATTATTGTGATGATACTAATTTCATGGATGTTTTTTGTTGTCGAAACAGAATTCTCGAAATTCTTTTAAATCTATTCCATGATCTTCAAACTGAACAAAAGCTAAATATATAGTACTATAATTTAAATAAGGTAAATATACTGCTCATAAGGTCTAGTGGGTTTGTTTTAGCTTTGACATAAATAAACAGAAGGAGAAGCAGAAGAGACGAAGTAGATTCTACACAAGACATTAAAACCCAAATTCAAGAAAAGGATTCCAAACCTTGAAAAATCTTGGAAATTGCGCAAGGAAAGAGTAGATATCGCTTAAGTGACTTAATCAATGGCGTATAGAATTTATGCAAAATCTATCTAGATCCTACTTAACTAAACACCTGCCAAAAAAGGTTTTAATAAGAAAAAAAAATTTAGTCTTTCGGTTTTACATATAAAAAACATAAACAAAAAAGAACACTTCAAAGAGTGACTTTGATCTATTACACCTAAGATTTATATACTATATATCAACCGTAAACTTTACCTTAAATATGAGGGTGGAAACGTGTTTTGAATTTAAAGTTAAAATTTCCTTTCTGTTCAAATTTTTTACATTTCTTGATTTTAGAAGTCATACGAGGTTGTGCAATAACCAATGAACGGCGTGAAGATCTGGGCACGAGACCCCCTGCGGTTAGCACGCAGTATTAGATAATAGGCTACAGTGGTAGGGGGTAAAAAGGAACTTTGTAATTAAATTCAAACAACACATTATTCGAAAGCTCATGATAACATATTTAGTAATTTTAGTTATGCACAAAAGCGAGATGAATCTCGGTTGCCTTTTTGCGACACGGTTTTAATAAATATTAGACCAAATCCATACAAAAAAACCATGAATAGTGACTGCTGAGATTTATTTCTTTTTAAAGTCTAAACAACAAACTTTACGACAAAATGTATAAAGTTCACTACAGATGTATTCATTATCGTCATGAAATCAGTACTTTATTAAAAACTTCCTGATGGTTTTATTTTCATTTCAGTGAACTTCAATGAATAAGAAAATCCTTTCCAGTCCTTCCAAACAACACCTTTGTACCAAGATGCAGAAGGTTGTTAATTGCCTTGATAATAATACCCATTTAGGTTGGAATCATAACAATAATAATACCACCAAGCACCTTTAGCATTTACAGCGCAGTTTCCTCCGCCATCTGTATCATTATCTGAATCGATTGTCGTAAACGACTTGTTTTTATGGGCGGATAATGAATTACCAGCAGTTCCTAAATGGTGATATTTGTATTCAAGAGAACACACATTTAACAGTGGAACTTTTAGTATGCATTGTATTTGGTCACTACATGCTTGTGTAATATTAATTTTTAATCAATGGATAATTAACAAAAATATTTTCAATAGAAAGATTCTTTTTGCGCTAACATGGCCAGAAAAAAATGATTGGTTAAAATAATCATATGATTGGTTACAGTAGCCATAAAAATATTGGTTGAAGTGGTTAAATGCATTTGAAGTAACCAATTTTAATGGTTATTTTAACCAATCAGTTTTTACAGTGTGTTTCACTTAGTTCTTTAATTATGTAGAAAATATTAAATACTGCTGTGTTTTTTCTATATAACATTATGTTCAGACCCTTACTTATAATTTGTTGCACACAAAGATGAAACTGAATTTGCAATTTACTTTAATAAGTAACTTAGTCCTTATCCTTGAATGATCTCTCTAGTATTGCCTGTCCAGAATTGTTTTTTCTGTTTGTAAATTAGTTGTTACCGACATTTTCAAAGCTGTAATCACACGTCAAAATATTTTTGGTTTACAAACATACCTGTTGTATGTTTTAAGTTGAAACAAAATATTTTGTTCTTATGACAAATATGTAACAAAAAAGTAGAATCGGTTCACGCAAATTCCAAGCATCCTAATCGTTTTAATTTAATGCTAATATTATTTTTATTCTATTAACCCTTTTAATTTTGTGGTGTTATTGTTCATATTTGCCTAATGACCTAATAGAATATTTTCCAAGTCTCAATTGATATTTTTTATTTTCATTCTCTACAGCAAAATAATCATATTCAGCATATCTTTTATTTCCTGACGTTTCTCCAAGATCAAGACGAAGTTTGTTTCGCTTTGCTGATGTTAGTCGGTATATTTTATCTAATGCAAGCCAGCATTCAGAAGTAAGATTGCCAAATCCTTGTTTATAGTCTTTCCAACCTCGATAGAACTTTACACTTCCATCTTGACGTCTTTGAAAAACAGTCCAACCTCCACCAGATGTTTTCATATCACAGAAAACCTTAAAGTAACCCTGACCATCTGGATTAATTTGATAAACTTCGTTCTCTTTTTCACCTTTTTTGTAAAGATCTGCACAGTCCTTTCCTTGTGTTTTCTTTGATTTATTTGAAATTTTTGTTCCGTTTTGTTCTATTCCTGTGAGTTTTGTATAATCTTTTGAAAGCGTTGTCAATTGTTTTTCAAGAGTTTTTAACATGTTTTGTGTTTTCGCTTATTGTGCTTCGAGTGTTTTCATTTGTATGGAAAGCTTAATCATTCGAAATTCGAGCTTCTTTATTTGTTTTCGCAAGGTTGTAAGTTTGCTTATTTGTCCTTTTGTCTTGTTGATTTTGGATTGGAGTTTTAAATTAAATGTTTGTAGGTGTTTGTTTTGTGCGCTAAGTTTTTTGTGATATGTTTGAAGTGTAGCTATTTGCGCTTTTATGGATGCAATTTGTGTCTTCAAAGTTACATTTCTTTGATCAGGTTTTAAGGTGCGTTTCAAGTCAAGGCTGACTGTTGAGAAGTCATCTTTTGTACGATCTTCTTTTGCATTAGTCAACATCGCTTTACGGAAATAGTTAAATGATGTGAGACAAAACAGTCAACTGACATATTAAAGCATGATATTCAGTGGCCGACTACGTAGTAGGCTCTGTAGGCTGAAGTTTACAGGCCCATTTGAGAGGTTTATAGTTTCTAGACATAAATAGTTTTTAGCTTCTGCTATTCCGGACTAGAGTAAATGCTCCTAATTTAGACCACTTATGATGTTGAAAACCGTACAATCTACTGTTGAAATTCATGATGCTTTGAAAACATGAAGTATTAGCTTTCCCCCATTTGAAATTTAAATTCATTCCTTGTTGTTGATACTATGAGTTGCAAAGACAAGTTGAGAAATACGAAGGGTAAGGGCTATAGGAGCGTAAGGAACGCAAATGTCATCATGAATTGAACTTAGTGGAAGGAATACATATCCGACTTAAAGCTCAACAAATTTGTATTAGCCGGCATGCTCCGTAGCTAGTAATTGGCCACTGATGATAACACTTATTACACTGTGTCACTTGCTTACTGACCATTATCCAGCATGATGTTCTTGTGATCTTTACACACAGCCAGCAGTTTCAACTTTTTAAACAATTTCTTATATTAATACGCAACGTAACAAAGAGGTTAAATTTATAGAAATTGTGCCGATTCATCATCTTCCACCTTTTAAATTTCGTTTATCAAAAAAATTCTATTTAAATTGGTTTAGAAAATAATTATGGTGATTAAGAAATAGACAATCAATTTTTAAATTCTAAAAGGCTCAAAATAGTACGAAAATAAACCTTTTTGTAGATTTCAACTTTCAAAAGTGGCGTAGTACAAAAATTTGGGAGCTCATATTCATATAAGCATACTATAATCCGTAAAACATGATTTCAAATGATCTTAGAAGACGATATGAATAAGTGTCCTCTCATGCAGTTACAGAGATTGCTACGACATTGCAGGAGACAGTTTTTAAAATATAGCTACGAAGAAGCAGATTACGAACAATAAAGCAACCATGAAATTCAATTCATCTCTTTTGATCCATAGATGACATATTTTTTAACATAAAAACATTTAATAACGGCATATTTAATGCAAAATACTAAAACTGCCCATTGCTACTATTTTAGCAGCTTTCAACCTTTTCGCTATAAAGCACTGTCCTTTAAAATCATGCTCGTGTCAAAAATACAAAAGGTTTCACACCTCGCACGTTTTAGTTTTAAAAAGATTACAACTTACCCATGAATAATAGCAAAAAGACAAGCTATTACAATCATCGCATAAGTAAAGTTCGCCATCTTGTGATAAGTCTCACTTGTACAGCTTTGAAGCGTGTGTGTAGAAAAAAGCAAAGCTCTATTTATATATTTGTGTTAATTGTGGTTCAATAACAACTTGTTATAAAATTTGATTTCATGTTGGCTATTCATAATTACTTTATCGACTTGCTACAGCACTTGAAATTAATTAAAGTTTTAATTGTATGTTTGTGCTATTACACAAACAAAATATTAAAGAAGGCTTTGCTTAAAACATTTTATTTTGAAGTTTCCAACGTACCTTTTTGAACACTTGTTCTGACAATAGTATCAAAATCAAAAAAGCAAAGAAGCATTCTTAGTTGTGTTTACATAAGTTGGGAATTCAGCCAGAAATAGCAAACATAAAGACATGGAAGTGCGTGGTCCTCCTGAAAATATGTAATGTGTACATTCACGATGAAAATTTACATGTATTGTTGAAGCATTAATAACATATAGGGATAGGCAGGCTTACGTATTCAAGCCAAACAAGATTATCTAACATATCACGATTTAATGAGTGAGTTAGGCTCCAACACATGCTTTATATTTTAGTTATGACCAAATAGACATGTTCTTAAATGGCTCGCCAAAGCAAATTTACTGACTGAGCAGGTTTTCTTCTAGTAATTTCCAAGATGTATTTAACATAACTTAAGAATTCGCTAGCTATAATTATTTAGAAACAGCTCTATACCCTTGGTATTGATGGGAAGTATTTGGATACATCTCGTACGTAAAATCATTATGATTATTTTTCTTAGAGATCACTCATAAAACCTGTATTTAGTAAACACTCATTTATCACTCACGTTAGAAGTATAATCATATTCCCGAGTTCAAGGACAAGAAAAAATTCACAAACTACATAATCTTGTCAAACTACTCGTTAGCTACATTAAGCCCCCTGACTACTGACTCGATGTCATACAGACTTCTGCCCTCTCGATCACTGCAAAAAGCCAAGTTTTTACCTCATAGAAACAGCTACGTATTTGAAACGCCGCACATGCAGAAAATGATACTTACGAAACATTAAACTCTAAAGTTTATCTTCCTCGTCCTACGGTGAATAGTATAGATTGCCTCACATTTCAATCAATATCTTTCTCTGTTAGCCTTTCATTTCACTGTCAAATCTGGACGACCATACATCAGAGCAAAACTCAGTCAGCTTGAAATATATCGAAGTGCATGGAAGCAAAGAGTCAAAGAGACTTAGGTTGTCGAAACGTCAGTCAACTACAACAAAAACAGTTCTTCTCAGGACTATACCAACCTGGACGATCTACATTTACAAACATGAAACCGTATCATGCCATGAAGACTAAAATATAATATTTTAAAAAAATATCTCTTTAAAGAAGGCAGCTAACAACAAGGTAAAACTCATAAAGCTGCAGTTATTTTGAGTATGATTTGATGACATCTGCTTCATTTAGATAAACATGTTAAAAACTAGCATTTCCTCCATTTCATTGATTGAAACAATATTTTTTTATTACTTCATGAAATCAACACAATTTTTTTGCATATTTGCTCATAAACGAACATATTTTTACATGACGTATTGATAGATATATTGATCATTGTCATGAAATTATAAATGTTTATGAAAACTCTTCATGGTTTTATTTTCATTTCACTGGTTTTCAGGTAATTAAAACCACGCCAATACATATTTTTACCATTTTTAGGTCAGAGTAAGCACAATTATTATACCACCAAGCACTTTCGTTGAAAATAGCGCAAGTTATCAAAGCACCATGTTTATCATTATCTGAATCTTTGGTTGAAAACTTCATGTTATTGTGATAGGATAATGCATCCCTAGCAGTTCCTGAAAAGTAGAAATAGCTCTATAGTTCTCTGTTGATTTGTATTTTAAAAACGTACAAGAAACTGTTCATATCATTCTGTCATTATTCACAATAAACTTTATACGCAACATTCCATGCATTTAATGATGCATTTATATTATGTTAAGAGTATTTACTAAACATTTTTTTCGTGGTTGGCTTGATTCAAACACACAGGAATAAAAAGAGAGTTAAGAAAAGCATTGTGAGTTATTTACACCGCTTTTTTACCAAAGAACATTCCCAAGTCTTTAGATATGGTGATCCAACACTTCAAAAGAAGTTGTCATATGAAGTAACAATAAATCATCTTCATTCTCAGACATGTTTAAAATTAACGCACAGCAATTTAAATTTCCGTCTTTATAATGCCTGATTCAAGCACTCGCATTGACCATTCAGAGTACGCATTATACATTTGTTATTTTATAAATTTCTTGCTAAAGGTTTACATTTTTGCATGCTTTGCAAGAAAACATCGTTTCATATCATTAAAAAATACAAATCTGCTCTTTTTGCGCTATACTCTTTGCGGATTGCACATAGGAGAAACAAAACAAAGGCAAGCAAAAGTGCTTAGGCCTGTTTCAAATGTCGCATTTACATGAGCTGAATGCATTCAAAACAAATATAGATGATTAATTTTATTGCATTTTCTTTAGTTTTAAATGCGTTCGGCGCATGTAAAATGTAACGTTTGAGTCGGGTCTTAGAAATACGAGCTGTGCTTGTAGATAATATTCAGATAATTATCTTTCTGAGGAATAAAATTTGTCTTTAAAGTTACTGATTATCCTGCTCTTCAGAATGATCTTGCTAATGCATTATATATTGCATAATGTAAAGTCCAATGCATTGTATATTGTCTTTCTTGCGGTTGACATTTCAGACGATACATTTCTTTAACCTTAGGAATTGTTCATATGAGATTGGCCAGCCTGCTTAAGCCGTGCTAGCTAGTTTGCCGGGCCAATTTGTATTCGCATTCATATGAGGCGGGCTGGTTTGGCTGAAATGTTGTATGTAATTTCTGCCAACAAATATTGTATTTTGTGGGAGAATTAAATTGTAATTAAACTCAGACATTCAACAATCTGATTGCTACCAGTGAGTTCCACCGATTATTGTAGTGGTATGACATGAATATTTCAAACTTATTTTTAATTACACATTATTGTTTTGAAAATTTTGCCATATTTAAGTAACCAAATAAGACAAGAGCATGCGCAGTCTCATCGCTTCCAGCCCAGTTCAGCCGGGCTGGCCCGATTGATGCAGTTATATGAGCCCGTTAGAAGCGAGATCTCGCTTCCTTCAAGCGGATCTCTCCAAACCGGTCTGGCCCGCTCTTCATATGAACGCAATTTCAAAAAAATTGTAAACTAATATACAAGGTGAGATCTCGGCAAAGCTACCTAGCCTGGCATAAGCGGACTGGCCCGTCTCATATGAACTGGTCCTAAGGTACAATCTGTCAACGAAGTTTGCTATCACAAAAACTCATTTTCTTCAATATTTTCTTACCTGTGTATTTTCCGATACTTAATTGATACTTAGAATTTTCATCCTTTACGACAAAATCTTCATATTCAGCGTATTTCTTAGTGCCTGACGTGTTTACTAGATCAATTCGAAGTTTATTTTTCCTTTCAGATGTTAGTCGATGTATCTTGTCCAATCCAAGCCAGAACTCGGATGTAAGATTACCAAACCAC